CTTTTCTCTTTTGAATAAACACATACTCAGCATGTTCTGGACAATCTTCCTGGAAGTCAGATTGGTAACAGCGATTGGTCCAAGAAATGATGTGGGTATCACTTCACACAAAGGAAGCATTGTGCCTGCTTGATGCAGAGCTGGCTCCTGTACGGAGCTGACACTTGAGTGGGCATGTTAGTGATTGTTGTGGAATATTGATATGATAAGCTCTCCTTCCTTGACCTCCAGCTTCTCTGAAGCCTTTGCCTGAGATGCTTGCAAGAGCTTGCACTCTTGCTTGTATGGCAACCTAGAAGTGTGGGAAAATGAATGCCCTGTGGGGCAACCCTCAGTCGAAAGGAACCATGAGAAAATGGTTACATGCTTCTCTCTTTTGTCCCTAGGGCAGACAATTCTCAGACTCATTCTATACATTTCCTCATAAGGTCAGACAATTCTAAAACTCATTTTAAAATATGTTTTTTATTGATTTTTAGAGAGAGAGGAAGGTGGAGGGGAAGACAGAAATATTGATGAGAGAGAAAGATCAATTGGCTTGCCGCCTGCTCACCGCCTACTGGGGATTGAGCCCACAACTCAGGCATTTGCCCTGACCAGGAATCCGAACCAGTGATCTCTCGGTGCATGGGCCGGGCCTTAGACTCATTTTAGCTAGCTCTTCATAAGATCCCAGTAGAATCAAGCATGGTTGCCCAGGGTGATGCTCTCCTCCATATGGGCCTTTGTACTGACTTTTCCATTTTATTCTTTCTAAGCTTTCACTGCACTCCTGTTTCCTGAGATCATTTCCAAAATAAACTACTTGGATGCAATCCTTTATTCAAGTTCCACTTTTATGGAGCACCCAGGCTAAGACAATGCTCATTATAAAAGAAGCAGTATTTATGGGCTGAAAGATAATAGGGGGTGTTTGTGTGTGGATGGTATTGCTATTTAACATGGTTTTCTTTCCTCTACCAGATCCCTAAATATTGGAATCCTGAAGGGCTTAGTTCTTAGCCTTCTTCTTGTCTTGATCTACAATTTCTCCTTAGACAATCTCTGGCTCTATGGTTTTAACCACCACCTCTATTTTGATGCCTTGCCTAATTGTATCTTTAGTCCTGACCTCTTTCCTGAGCACCAGAATCATTTATTCAATTGTCTACATATCATCTCCATTTGGATATCTAAAAGGCATCTTTCCCATCACCTGTACATAGTAAAACTTGTTTAGCTCCCAATATGCCTTTACTCTTCCTCATGTCACCACCGCCTTCTAGCTATAGTCCCAACAAATAAAATTTAAAATCCAACAAATAAAATTAAAAAAATCTGGCTGTTCTCCATTCAGCTCCTTTCACACATTTCCCAGGAAGTGCTGTCAATTCTCTCTCCATCTCCAGACTTGCACCTCCACTGCCATCACTCTTGTCTTAAGCAAAATGATCTTTTGTGAGGATCACTGACAAAAGCCTTCTAAAATCAATTTCTATACTGCAGTCAAAATGGTTTAGACAAACAGATATGCACCACATGCCTCTTTAAAACATTCCAATGGCTTTTTAAGGGACCTAGAAATAAAAGTCTAGAACCTTCCCAGGCTTCCAAGGCCCTGCTAATGTCAGACAGAATTTTCTGCCTTGCTCCCTTAGGCTCCAGCAATTGTGAAAACTTTTTCATTCTTCCAAAAGCCTAGGTTCTATCTCTCTTCTGGGTCTTGCATTTTTCTAAACCTTCTGCCTGAATACTTGATTTTTCTGCTTTTCATAGGTTACACTCCTTCTTCTTTAGGCCTTGGTACAAATATCTCCTCTTCTGGAGTCATTCTTCTAGTAAGCACCTGTCTAGAATAGTGCCTCCAACCTGTTACTTTATTGCTTCTTGTTTCTTTCCTTCATAATTCTTTTCATAAATTTATATTGTGTCTCAAGCCATTTTTATTTTCTTTTTATCTTCTCACTTAGGAGATTAAACTCTATGAGAGTAGGAATCTTGAAAGGATCTGACACATTTGTGGAATATATTAATGGACAGGCTAATTATTTTGAGAAATTCTTCTGGATGGGTGCACATAGGCATTTCTTCTTAGCTACCCTGAGGCAAAGAGCCTAATAAACATTGTCTAATAGTTCCTCTCTCAATAATCCATAAATCTCTGCATCTTGGGACTCCTAATGAGATCAAGAGATGAGAGTAAACATTTTTTTTTTTTTTTGGTAAAAACGTGAAGACATTCTTATAATTCATCATTTCTTATTTCCTATGGTAGTCTTGTTTTCAAGTAGGAAGCGAAACTGATGATTCATCCCATAGTAATCAAATTTATTGTGATTATTTGCATTTCAATTTGCTTTTTTTCTAAGTAGGATAATTATTTCTGAGAAACAATAGGTTTTTATGGGAAAGAAAAAGACTTCATATCTATCCAGCCTAGGATGCTTTTTCTTATAAATATTACTTGGCTAATTTATAGTATAACCATGCTACACACAGAATAAAATTCCTAGTAATTCTTAGCTTCCCCTTTTCCAGCTATGCTTAGATCCATAGTTTCAATTCCCTTCAAAGACATACATACCCAAAACTTCAATGCCTTTTAGTCCCAGATTCTTTTTCATCCTAGTTTCAGTTTTCATACCTGTTACATTAGGGTATGAACCCAGTTTTTTGATGAGTCAGCGAAGGCTGGATCTGTTTACTGGTGGACTGGGGGCCTAGGGCCCTGTGCTCACCTTGGGAGTCTTATTCTAAAAATTTGGTAATAAATATCACTAGTGCCAAAGGGGTAAACTTTGTTTCTTATCTTTATGATAAAAATAAAGATGAAACAAGTCCAGTCCTGAGCTGGTGAAATAGTAATACCAATTACTTTTTGTTATTTCTGAAAATATTTATAGACATTCATGCCTGTATATCAAGCCAACATTGCATTTTTAGGCAATTTGCTTCTTTTTTTTTTTTTTTTTGGGGGGGTGGCTCAAACAAAGACATTTATTTTCTCAGAGTTCTGGAGGTGGGGAAGGTGCCAGCTGGGATGGTATCTGGTGAGATGTGTCTTTCTGGTGTGCAGATGCCATCTTCTTGCCATGTCCTCCTGCAGCCTTTCCTGTGTGGGCCTTTTCCTAGCTGTTGTCTGTTTTCCCAGGATTCCATCCATAGGCTCTGGTGTGAGTGGAGTTCAGAGAGTGTAGCACCTACAGAGACTTCCAGTGAGAACTCAAAGTATTCATGGGTGCCAATCCCTGTGTTGCATGTTGTCCTTGAGCCATCAGAAGTCTCTTTTGGATCCACCATCACTGCCACCAAACTGGGGTCTTGGTGTCTGTTTCCAGCATAAGGACAGGAAAGCGTCGAATTTGCTCACCAGCTGCTCATCAGTGCCCAGCCTCCTGGCTGGCAGGTGGTAGGCAATCGGCCCGTCTCTCCTTCAGAGCAGTGGCCTCCGAGTTCCTCCATTGTCCCATCCTCATCCAATCCGCTTTCTCACTATCGCCAAAATGATTCTAAAACCAAAGTCTGATCAAGCCGTGGCCCTGGTTAAAACCTTTCCTTGGCTTTCCATGGTCCTTCTACATGGGCTCGGAACTCTGGATCAATATTAGAATGAGCTGAGGTTTCTAAAAACTCCCGAAGCCAGAGTCAGAAAACCTTCAATGTAATTGAGGGATGGCTGGAGGCTCAGTCTGACGCTCTGAGATGCAAACCCCCAGCGGGCCGGGCCCTGTGAGCCCAGCCAGGCACGGTTGTGAGATGTACCTTCAGAGCGTGACCAGGTTCCCACGGTAAATATGGAGAGAAACCCTCTCACCGGCAATTTGCTTCTTAAAGCAATCTTGTGCTGTTTTATAATTTAGGGTTTCCACACACTGGATTTTCCTAAGGAGAGGCACATGGCTATTATTTGTGATTTAGATTCTTGATATATAATAACTACCATAGGCTTTGTTGTTTTTAAACAAAAACAACTGGTCTATACCCACTTGCTAATTATATCCTCAGTTTGCAAAAATGATGTAAAATAATTTGATTTTATATCTTGCACCTGATTTTCCTTGTTACTCTTTGAGCATTTGAATGACTTTGAGACTTTATAATACAGATATTTAAGGTAGTCTAACCTTAGGGAAAATTCATTACCTCCTTTGTAATTACTTGATGGTATGAAAAATACCTGCTCAGTGATCAGTCTCATTAATGGATCTTTTTCATTTTTTCAATTACAGTTTACATTCAATACTTTTTAAAAAAAATCTTCTGTCAACCCCATTTTTAAAAATTGATTTCAGAGAGGAAGGGAGAGGGAGAGAAAGAGAGAATCATCATTGATGAGAGAGAATCATTGATCGGCTGCCTTCTGCACGCCCCCTACTGGGGATTGAGCCCATGCAACCCAGGCATGTGCCCTGACCGGGAATCAAACCGTGACCTCCTGTTCATGGTTTGACACTCAACCCCTGAACCACACTGGCCAGGCACACTCAATACAATTCTGTACCAGTTTCCAGTGTACAGCTTAGTGGTCAGACAATCATATACCCTACAGAGAGCTCCCTTGTTATTCCAACCACTCGCCTGGCACCATACATATTTACCACAATATCATTGATTATATTCCCTATGTTGTGCTTTACATCCCTGTGACTGTTTTGTAACTAGCAATTTGTAATTTTTTTTATTCCTTCACCTTTTCACCCTGCCCCCCAAACCTCCTCCCCTCTGGAAACCATCAGTCTGTTCTCTGTATCTAGGAGTCTGTTTCAATTTTGTTTGTTTATTCTGGTCTTTAGATTCCACATGTAAGTGAAATCATATAGTATTTATCTTTCTCTATGGACTCATTTCACTTAGCATAATACTCTCTAGGTCATCAATCTTGTCTTGACTGACTTGGAAAGAACCAAGAAAACAATTTGAAGTATTTGATCAGTCAGAAGCTGGCCTTGACTGCTCTGAGTGACTTCTGTCCTCTTCACCTCCTCTGCCTGTGCCCCAGGCTGAATCATCAAATGCCTTACCGTCCGTGCAGAGGAGTCCAGACCTCCCGTAGGGGCAGAGGCAGACGAAGTCTGTCCCAGATTTGGGAACACAGGTGGCCCCGTTTCTACATGAGTTGTTTTCACACATTGCAAACTGGCACAGCTTGCCTGAGTACAGCTTTGGACACACACAAAACCAGTTTTCACCATCACTGAGAAGACAAAAATAAATTATTTATTCAATCAGAAAACAATCGATCTTTTACACACATATACACATGCACGCATGCACACACGTAAATAAAATTACAATTACATCTTGTCTAATGAGTGGAATTATTCTTTGGCCCTTTCTGGGAAGTGGAACTTTTTCTCCTCCCGTTCACTTTCTGTGTTATTTAACTTTTAATTATTTGTAGCTGTGTACTTTGCATCGAAAGCAGATTAGCAGCTTTATAGATCATCTGAAGCCAGGAATTCTATTTTAAGCCACCTATTTTTACTTTTGATGTATCTCGTCTCCTATTTCACACTAGGTGCCTTTTCAGAGCTTCATTAAATATGTGTGGCGTTGCCTCAATAAAGTTCTTCAAATATCTATTAAAATAAAACCGTCTTAGAGAACTTCAAGCCTGGTGACCAGCGTCCTCCACGGAGGACACTGCCCTCCAAAGAGTGCCCTTGTGGTAATTTGGAAAGAAAATCTCAGTGGGGAGCTGTGATGACTATACAACTTTCTGGCTGAAAATATGGCTTGGTGGCCACGAGTGAGCGAGTGAGCGTGCCTGGGAGAGCTGCGCTCAGGAAAAATCCTCCTCTCACCGGAAGCCTCCTCTGGAGGGAAAGTGGCCGGAAGTCTGCTGTTCTGCCTCCCTGCACCCATCCCCCTTTTAACCGGAGCCTCAGCAGACCCACCCCTCCATCACTCTCAGCGCAGCCCGCTGACAGGAGGGGCAGACCCTGAATCTTACTGTCGATCACAGTGATTAATGCACTGGATTTTTTTTTTTATTGGGGTTACTAAACTGGTAGCTTCTGGTGGCATCTGCCTGTCCAGAGGGGAGAACCTGGCTGAGAGTAAATAACTAATACCAAGCAACACCAGTATAAGAGGCTGGGGGACATAGATAATTAATCATATTACTTGGGCACCAGATCTAGCCATTACTCTGCAGTTATGTGAGCTGATATATTTTAACCCCCTTTTAAGTTTTGAACCAATTTAAGTTGGGGTTTTGTCACTTGCTGTTAAATGAATTCCATTTAATATTAATGTCCTTTCCTTCCTTTTTTATCTTTCTTCTCATTATCAAATCCACACACCTTGCCATATGCGGATCTTTAGGGTTTTATTTTTTCCTGCTTACATCTTATCTTCTAAATATGACTGTGAGCTCTTAAAGGTAGGTGTCAGGAGCATCCCGGAATTAGAAAGCTGGTATATTTTGTCTTTATGACTCAGCCTCCCAAACTAGTTGTAGATTTTGCCCATACCATGGTATTTTCTCTTGTCCTCGTCATTCTGGTCTTTTGATGCTTTCCTTATGTATTTTAATCCCCTTAGTTCAAAATAAATTCGCTCGTAGGAAAGTCTCAGATTTTTTTCATACTAATGAATACCCGACTTTGAAATCTGAAGAGGTTTCCTTTTCCAAATATATATATTTATTTCAGAGAGGAAGGTAGAGGAATAGAGATAGAAACATCAATGACGAGAGAGAATCATTTATTGGCTGCCTCCTGCACACCCCCGATTGGGGATCGAGCCCGAAACCCGGGCATGTGCCCTTGATTGGAAGTGAATCCAGGACCCTTCAGTCTGCAGGCTAATGCTCTATCCACTGAGCAAAACCAGCCAGAGCAAAAAATTTGTATGTTTTTTGTTAATCCTCACACAAAAAAATTTTTCCCCATTGATGTTTTAAAAAATACATTTTTATTGATTTTAGAGAGGAAGGGAGAGGCAGAGAGAGATAGAAACATCAATGATGAGAAAGAACCATGGATCAGCTGCCTCCTGAATGCTCCCCACTGGGGATTGAGCCTGCAACTGGGGCATGTGCCCTGACCAGGAATCGAACTGAGACTTCCTGATTCATAGGTCGATGCTCAACCAGAGGCCCGCTGGCCAGGCCCCCCCATTGATTTTTCGAAAGGGTGGAAGGGAGGGAGGGAGGGGGAGAGAGAGAAACATCAATGTGAGAGAGACATATCAATTAGTTGCCTCCCGCAAGAGCCCCAACTGGGCCTGGGGATCGCTCCTGCAACCCAGATACATGCCCTTGACTGGGAATTGAACCCACGACCCTTCAGTGATTCTCTCCCATCATTGAGCAACCGGTCAGGGACAGAAATATATATTCTTTTGTATTAATTTTCTATGTTAATGGGATGAGGCACCATGGAGAACCTTACTGTATCAGGTAGCAGGTAAAACTAGCTTTGGAGGGCTGTGAGGCTTTGAGACCCTCAGATTTTGCTGACACATAAGGTGGTCCTGTAAGTGATCAGTGATGTACTCATTTTATAACTCTGATGGCAGCTTCCATAGGGCTTTACACGTAGTATACAGATATAGAATCTCATAGGTTTTCAGAGTTGGGAAAGAAAAAAGATCCATGGCACTAAGACGACAATAAAGCACCTTAGACATATGCTTCTGTTTCTGGGCTACAAAAGAAAGTTTTGAGGACTGCTGAGCCAAGGCTACTCCTTCTTGCCAGAGAATTGTACTAATTAAAGTATAACCAGACTACCTGGCAGGAATAGAGATACCTTCTGGTGTGACTTAAAAGTGTTAGTTGGGAACTTGATGTTGTTGAGGCCATGGATAAACCTAATGTAACTTCACTTCCACTCACCTAACTTGGGGTTGGAGGCTCAGAATTTAGCATCTGTATTCTGGGAAAAAGTCTAGGAGAACAACACTCTTGCAAGCTGCATTCTGGAAGGACCAAATTAGTCTTTTTATAGTAAAGGAGAATGCCACATATGGGAACGTCAATGAATCTAAATATTGACTGATTGAAGTGCTTTAATCATACAGCCCTCACCAGATTTGAGATGCAGGAAAGATGCTTTTATGTTAAAAACCAAGGAAAGCACTAATTTTAATCACGTCCTATTGATAAACCAAGCTTCGTTTCCTTTTTGCTTCCATCAGGTGTTGGGAGAAGTTGGTTGTATAAATTGACGCGGATCTGACTAACTGCGTGCATCTGCACATCCGCAGGCAGCTAGAGCAGAGAGAAAAATAGAGATTCTGTAGAAAACACTCCAAGAAAGGGGAAAATGACCTTCTCTGGCTAACCAAGGGCAAGTGCCCAAAGCCCTTTGGCCCACCGCAGTATTCCACAGCATTATATTAAAAAGAGTCAGATTTAACCAATCGAGATTTTGTCAGATGATGGTAACTGTACACTTCACTTCAAATTTTACCTTCAAGCCCTGCTGGCGTGGCTCAGTGGTTGAGCATCGGCCTATGAACCAGGAGGTCAAGGTTCGATTCCCAGTCGGGGCACATGCCTGGGTTGCATGGGCTCGATCCCCAGTGGGGGGTGTGCAGGAGGCAGCTGATCCATGATTCTCTCCCATCATTGATGTTTCTCTCTCTCTCTCTCTCTCTCCTTCTCCCTTCCTCTCGGAAATCAATAAAAATGTATATTTAAAAAAAAGAAAGAAAAGGAATGATTAAAAAACAAAAAACAACAACCCAGAAAACAAATTGTACCATCAAGTCCAAAAGATTTCCTGGAGTGCCAGATATTTTACCAATGATTTTAATAAAATGTTTGCCACCAGCTGTGTAACACCTGGACTTAAAGGTTTCTCCTATTCAGATTTTACCAAAGATCTGTTACTGAATCCCAGTTTCCTCAAAGCTAGCAAGTCAACTGTTTCTGCTGCCACTTAACGCACCTTGATGCCTCGCCACACCCTAAAGCGACTGGCAATGCCAACCAGGACGAGATGCCCTGAGGCTGAAGAACCTTATGTAACAGTTACTTTTGGAAGCAGTGATTAAACCACGTCACCTTCCTTCACCCAGTTCCCTTTAAATGTTGTAACGCTGCCATGAATTTGTTGGGTGCTGTTTAATTAGTTAGGGGAGAACATATTCACATGAAATAAATACTTTTTCATTTGAGAACATTTTAAAAAGATAACCCTTCCCAGACCTATGAACCACACATAAACCTGTTTGCAAACTTTCTCTAGACAAGTCGGGGCACTTTTGTGATTAAAAGTAGGTCTGGCCCTAACTGGTTTGGCTCAGTGGATGGAGCATCAGCCTGCAGACTCAAGGGTCCCAGGTTCGATTCCGGTCAAGGGCATGTACCTTGGTTGCGGGCACATCCCCAGTGGGGAGTTTGCAGGAGGCAGCTGATCAATGTTTCCTTCTCAACGATGTTTCTAACTCTCTATCCCTCTCGCTTCCTCTCTGTAAAAAATCAATAAAATATATTAAAAAAAAGTAGGTCTGGAAGAGATCCCCAGTTATTGGCGAGATTTATACCTGGACACTGTATTTAGTGTCAATTGCTGTCAACCAATATCTTCTGTGCACCTGCATCACGGACAGAGGCACGTGCCATGGGATATGTAAGACTCGTCTTTACTGTTGGGAGGGGAGACAGCATCAGTTCACGAACTGGTCTCTGTAAGATACCACATGTGTTATGTGGATTTATATGCATATTTCAACAGTGGCGAGGATTTTGAGGGCTTCTTAAAGCTGGTCTCTGGTCTGGTGCCAGAGAGGATGTTCCATGGGGCTTTTAAATGCGGATTCCTGCGCTCCCCTTGCCCTCAGAGATTTTGATTTTGGGGTCAGGACTGAGATTTTGCATTTAATAAATGTCATCAGGTGATCCTGTGGCATAGCCTACTGTGAGTTTAAGCCAGCTTCCCTGAGACAAATTTTCTCACCAGAGTAAAAGCTTGCTGGCCATCAGTTCCTATCATGCCATTAGTAGGATGCTAGGCCATTATAATTTTCTCTTTTTTGGGCTTCATTTTGACTTTTGTCAGACCTGTTTCTGAAAACACAATACAGTGGGGCCTTGACTTAGGAGTTTAATTCGTTCTGAGACCGAGCTCGTTAAGGAGCTCGTTAAGGAGCTCGTTAACTTAAATTACTCTATCAATTCAATGCAGAAAATCGGCTGAGAGACAGCTGGTATCTCGAAAAACTCGTGACTTTTGTCAGACC